TTAGTACTTTTCGTACCGTTCTAGTACGAATTTCCAAAAACGCTTTTGTACATCTTCCTAACTTTACATCAGTGACCCACATTCCAAATTTCAGAATTCTAGCTCTTCCCGTTCGCCTAATACAAAGGGTACCATATTTGGTACATTTTAGTACTTTTCGTACCCTTCTAGTTCGAATTTCCAAAAACCCAGCCCCTTATCTCACGCCTACACACCAACACCAACCCACACTCAAAATTTCAAGCTTCTAGCTTTAGCCGTTTCGTCTGGGCGATGATCTGTCAGTCACTCACTTAACACTAAGCTCTATATATGTAAGCTCTATATGCTCCTAGATATGTGTGTGTGCCCTTAACATGTGTAGTGTTCGTTCTTCTCATCCATATACCCACAAAACACACACCAACACACTCGCACAGTCATATGAAATATTTTATTTTAATTAGGAATTAGTAATATTTTAATTAAATTTAATGTTGCATTTACCTTGAGGACTCTTTTCGAGGAAAAGTTAATAAATTTAATGTCGAAGTATGTGGGCGCTCTGGATGTGTGTCAATGTGGTTTGGTACAGAAAGGTGTGTTAATTTTGCCCAAGGGTATTTCGAGAGAACGAAAACGGATTTGAGAGAAATGTAACTTGTGAACAAACGCAAACAAATGGACTTGAGCAGGAATGCATTGTCATTTGTACTACCGGTAAAATGCTCAGCTTCATTGCTGTGCGTTGCCTCGCACTTGAAATAAATACTTAATCAAATGGCAAGAAACACAACGACAATTATTTAGCATTATCGTCTAATTTGTTGGGAAATGCAATTAAATGCTTGTGCAATTTTAAGTAAATAGTAATTCAATTAGAGATATATTCGGTTATGCTTTTCCATTGTCGTTGAATTTCAAATGATGAATATACAAAATTTCGTATGTCTGGGATTTTACAAATTATGTTATTATAAGAATAAAATATTGTTTAGATTTATTAAATTTGTCATCATAAACCTATTTCGGAAATAGTTCCTGTACTACATCTTTCATCCAAATTCAATATATATATATATATACTAGCAAAATGCACGCTACTTTGTATGCGGAAAGGGAATATATATTTTATCAGTAATCTAAATTCTAAATCTCAGGATTCAACCAAAACCCTTTAGTACTTTTCATACTCATAATTAAGAATTTCTAAAACTACATCAATCCTACACCCTAACAGTAATATTAATTCTACCAAAGTCCAAATTGTACCAAATTTAGTACTTTTCGTACTCATAAGTACGAATTTCCAAAGTATGTCCAAATTTAATCATTTCAGCTCTGTCTGTTCACCAAAAACAAAATTGTACTAGATTTGGTAAAATTCTGTATTTTTCGTACCCATATTCCAAACCTATATCAATCCTACATTCCCACAGTAACCAAAGTTGCAATTTGCGAATTCTACCCGTTCACCCAAGTTCAAATTGTACCAAATGTTGTCCTTTTCGTACCCATAAGTACGAATTTCTAAAACTACCTCAGTCATGCACTCCAATTATAACCTTAAATCCACATTTAAGGATTCCAGCTCTATCCGTTCACCAACATCCAAATTGTACCAAATTTAGTACCATTTATTACTTCTCGTAGACGTAAGTACGATCGTCTAAAACTTCCTCAATTCCACACTCCAACAGTAATTTTATTCATAAATTTCAGGAACCCAGCCCCATCCGTATCAATTAGTACTTTTCGTACTTATGAGTTAGAATTTCCAACAATGTCTCAATCCTGTACTCTAACAGTAATTTTATTTTAAAATATAATTTTTCCATCTCTATCCTTTTACACTAATCTAAATTGTTTTAAACTTAGTACCATTTAGTACACATAATTACGCATTTTCAAAATAACCTCCATGTCTCAATCCTACACTCCAACCTTAATTTTAATTCCAAATTTTAGGATCCCCGCTCACACAATACGAATTGTACCATAGTTAGTACCATTTGGTGCTTCTCGTATCCATAAGTACGAAATTTCAATACTACCTTAAACCTGTAATTTTCATTCCAAATTTAATTTTTTTCTAATATAAATTGTACCATTTAGTACACATAATGGCGAAATTTCAAAAACTGTAATAATAATTCAAAATTTTAGGACCTCAACCCTATCCGTTCACCTTTAGTACTTTTTGTTTCTATAATTAAGCATTTCTTAAGCATTTCTTCTTTTCCTATACTCCAACAGTAATTTTAATTCCGAAATTCTGGAGTCCAGCATTATCCGTTCAAAGATAATCAAGTTGTACCATTTAGTACACATATCTCACATATATATTCCAACAGCAACCATTATTCCAAATTTTAGGTTTCCAGCTCTCTCCTTCACCCAAATCCAAACTGTACCAAATCTAGTGCCGTTTAGTACTTTTCGTGCACATATATACGAATTTCCAAATATGGGCCTATAGCTCAATCTTTAACAGTAATCTTAATTTCGAATTTCAGGTTTTCAGCTCTATCCTTTCAAGCAAAATCCATATTGTACTAAATTTAGTACTTTTCGTACCAATAAGTACGAATTTCGTAAACTATCTCAATCCTACACTCTAACAGTCATTTAATTCCCAATTTCAAGAACTTAATGCAAATAGCACCAAATTTAGTACCATTTTGTACTATGTGTAGAGTAACTTCAGGTAATGTGGACTAGGCGTCTTATATGGACCACCCTCATATCTAAGAAAATGCTTGAAATATGTCAATGCCGCCTTGATAAATGTTTTCCTAATTAGTGAAAACAAACATTAAACTTGGTTTTTAATAAATAATTGCAATGTTGAAAATTTAGTAGATGCAAATGTAGCTCTGACTGTAAAAGTGTGATTTGAAATTGGTTTAGCACAATAATCGAACGTTTTTGCAAATTAGTCGAACACTTGGCTTTTCTCGAATAAAAATAAGTTCTGTGGCTTTCTTGTTTCTTTAACAAAAATATACATTTAGCTGTAATTACAATCGGTTATTTTCAATTTTTATTCATTTTTGAAGTCGATAATTATTTTTAAATGAAAATATTCAATGTCGGGTAATGTGGACCACTATATTGAAATGATATTGAAAATGAGATATATCGACCAATTTTTGACGGTAGCCATGTAGCGGTACCCCAAAATTCGGTATTTTAAGGTTGTTCTTCTTTTATAACTAACTAATCAACTGTAATAACAAAGTTTTATCGCTATACATTTACATAAAATCGGTCGAAACTGTATATGGGAGCTATATCTAAATCTTAACCGATTTTCACGAAACTTAGCACGCATCATTCTACACTCATTTCAGTGCGCTATGCAATTCCAAACTTCGTGCAAATCAAAAGTAATATAGGGACTTTAATGCACGATTTACACAAAATCGGACGAAAATATATGTAGGAGCTATGACTAAATCTAAACCGATTTTCACGAAACTTAACATACATCATTCAGTACGCTATGCAAAATTTCGTGCAAATCGAAAGAAATATAGGGGCTTTAATGCACCATTTACACAAAACCGGCGAAAATATGTGTGGGAGCTGTGTCTAAATCTGAACCGATTTCAACAAAACTTAACACACGTCACTCCGGACTCAATTTAGTGCGCTGTACAAATTTTAGTCCAATCGGATAAATATTAGTCACTTTGTTGTACTACAATTGTGTTGTAGTTACTTCATTTTGTTTCAGAAAATATCAAGTCAAAAGGACGTAACTGACATAAAACCTTCAAAAAACAAAAAACAATATTTTTTTTTTTAAATAAATACGGCTCTATAGTGCGGTTAAATTTTGAAAAAAAAAAATCCCAGCCATGCTCCATTCTTATAGATTTTACAACGTTTTTTGCTTCTCCTGTAAAATTAGTAAAAATGTAGTTACTTCCGTTTTGCATTTATGATGACGATATATATAGTTTTTTTAACTTATGTTAGAACGCCTTTTGTTGTAAACAAATCAAAAAAGATAATTTTTGTATTTGATAATCCTGCAAATGTTATTTCATTAAAAAAAGTAATGATATTTGCTGGTGAATTAAAAATTTAACCTTAGGGGTTTATCTCGGTCCCCATTCTATGTTTTTCTACCAAAAAAATACCGATTGTTTACACACTGTGGTATTGTATACAGCTGTATATCTGCATTCCTACTTTATAATTATTCGTGAATTCCGCAAAGATTTTTTTCTCGTTATAGTAGTATTTTTGCTTCTCAGCATACGTATAATTGTGATTAATTGCAGCCAAAATCCTTCATATTAAAATTCATATTTATTTATATATGTATTCAGTTTTTGTTCTTTATTATAACTTTTTGGGATGTGATAATTAGTTTGTAGTACTTTTCAAAGGTACTGAAATTTACCTTAATAATAATAATAATGTAAATTAAAGCCTGTATATAATACACAAAATATGTAATCTACAACTACAAATTCTAATTTATTTGTTGTGACAATAAACGATATTTACTTGAAGGTATGGCATGAACGGTAAACAATTCTGATACAAAGAATATTGAAATCTCATGATCTCTACGAAAATGTTGAATTTACTTCATTATGATCACATATAACTTAATAAATTAAAAAAGAACATGTTTAACTTAACTTGCCATTCTAGTTTTTAGGATGATATCAACTATTGCTAAGCTTAAGGTACATTCAATTCACATGAATAACGTGGGATGTTGGTTTAATGAAATATTGTGAACTTAAATATAAAAATATATATATTAAAATGTACATTTCATTGAGTTTATAACTTAAATGGAATGGGGGCAATAATTCAGACAATACTTAATAAATTAGTTAAAAGCTAGAATTTGAATTGTAATTTCAGAAAAAAAAAACAAATCTATATGAGAAATGGACTTTTTGTTAGATAAGAAGTAATGTAACGAACTCAGGATACAACATACTTATATAGTCTTCTACATAATACAAAATTAATTCAGTTCATTCCATTATTAGTTCTTCAGTTTTCTAGAGCGGTTCTTAACAACGGATCTCGTCGTTTAGCTCTATTTTCGGCAAGTCTTTGCATAAGAGTTATTCTTTTCTTGGGAGTAGATGGTGGTGATGTAGATTCCATTATATGTGCGCCATTGGGCGGCGAGCTGTCGATTTGTTTAAGGACATGTTCATCTAAGATTTCCAATTGGCTATCAATGGCTGCGATCGTGTTAAGTTTTGGCGGCGTAGTATCTATGTTCATAAAATGTGCTGCAGACTCGTCGCCAGCCAGGCAATTATCTTGTGAAGAATTAATTGGAGAATTTTCGAAGTTTTGAACTTTGTTACAGTTATTTTCAAATTTCTGCAGTATGGAATTGAGGGGACTGTGCTGTAATGCCAACAAAGGTTTCATCTTAAATGAAGGATTCGATTTTTTGGCGAATTTTTCTAGAAATGAGTCATCAAAAAATGTAGATTCTAAGCGAGCTACTTCGAGTTCTGTGGCTTCAATAACGGGTGCATTTAACGAATCACTGCGGCAAGGCAGGGATAGTCGAGGCCGCATAAGAGGCCGTTCGGCTGGTAATTCAGGCAAAGTAGAGGGCGCAGCTAATGCCTCTTGGACCACATTGCGATATATTCGAGCAGCGCATCCTTTAATTGAGTCTTTGTTAGATGGAACGAGAGGTTCCGTTCTGAGTCTGTAGGGCACAATTTTAATAGGCGGTGTCAGATCTGCAGACATATTGGTTTTGTTATCTGCCATACCAACGGTATTACGCCTTTTCAAGGCAATACGAATTGTCTGTTCTCGGGGCTCTTCTTTAAGGCTTGAGAGATCATAAACGAAATCGCTGTTAACGGTTTTAATGCGATTGCGAATGGGCCTACGTTGGCCGATATTTACGTCATTTGAGAGGACTTTGCGTAATTTGTTTCGCACTGCTTTAGGAAGAATTTTATCTGGTGTATTTTGAGTTTCAAGCTTTACTGGGCTTTCGACTTCATTATCTTTCATAGCGCCTTCTTCTTCAGTCGGCATCTTTTCTTTCTTACGTTTTACCTTATTTTCATATGTTTTCAACTCGCTTTCCGGTGTTCTCGGATTGGCAGAACCAACTTCGTTCACCACCACAATATCATGTTCGACATCATCCTTAGAATATTTGACATCATGCATTGTGACATATTCAACTGACATCGATTCACGCTCCCCTTGCATTTTATGAACAAATGAAAGATGATTAACAATGTCGTAACGTCTGAAGGCACGATAATCGCATAAGCTGCAACCAAAACGCCGTGCTCGATAGTGAAACATGGAGATATGCCGGCGCAGATTGCTCAATGCATTGAACTGTTTGTTACAGATCTTGCAGCGACATGTCAATTGCTTAGATGCAGGCACTGTGCGAAATCCCTTTTGTTTTTTCTTTGGAGCTACTGCTTCCGACAACGTTTCTATTGTGTATTGTTCAGCTATTAGTTCGTCTCCATCAATTTCTTGTTTCGGTTCGACAAAAACTTCGTTCTTACTGCAAATATTCCCAGGTAGATGATCCTGCGATACACCGTTATCATCATCTTTTTGCTGCTGGTTTGACACCATCAGATCTAGTGAAACTGTTTGCAAGCCCTCGCCGAACGTTTGCTTTTCCAAGTTTTCAAACATTTCATTTATGTCGGAACCATTTGTTGCATGTGTGGAATTCGAATTGAATTCATCCTCCTGAGGTTCTTGTTTAATGTTAACACTATTTAAACGATTTGTATCACAATCATAAAAATAAGAAAGGAGGCCATCGTGTTGCGCCTCATGTTTTGAGGGTTGGGGTTTCTGATCAATAGTTTTGATTTCATGTTCAGTTTTTTGATTTTCTTCTAATTTTTTGGCAAAAGTTTTATTGTTTTGGTTTTTTAGTTTGGTGTGAATTTCATCTTTTGTTGCAACTCTAATTTTTGCTTGTACTTCCTTTTTGACGACTGTCTGCTTCTTGGCCGAACAATTTGCTAAATGAGTTGCAAATGCCGCTCTTTTTTCGAATGTGCTTTGACAAAACCTGCAAGTCGATACGGGTTTACCATTCTGTTGCGACAAAACATTTTCACTGTTGCTAAATGTCAGATCTTTGGTAGAGTCCAATTGTAAGCCCTTAAGTTCGCGTGACGGTCCTTTTACGTGCACATTTCCAATTTGAATGCGTTTTTTCAGAATAGATTCACGCATTTTTCGAATCCTTTTCAGAGGTTTCCTGCAAGATAAATGATGGTTCACATTAAGATGAGAATTTTAATACCGAATATTGTGCAGTGTACACTTACTTGTGTTCATTGGCCAAATGTCGAATGACAGCGGCTGGTTGTAGGAATGTCAACGAACATGTTGGACATTGGAAAACATACGTCGAAGAGTTGTGCTTCTTTTGTATGTGGATGTTTAACGTTTTCTCGGTTTGAAACGTCATCTGGCAGATCTCGCAGGTTACTTGTGGTTGTTGAAGCTTTGCAGCATCAGCGAATGAATTTAATTCGTTCAGTGCGTCCACAACATTCAACGGTGTTGTCCTATCACTTGTGCCCACTGATATTGTGTTCACAGTGGGGATTGTCAGAAATGAATTGCTGACTATGGCTTTGCCATCCGGCCCAATCATCGTCTTTTGATTGGTAAGTAGATTATGAACCTCATTAACTTCAGTTCTAATACTGTCCTTGGCATTGAGTGGCTTAAGGGTTTGATAGACAGCTTGAGTTGAAGTTGGAACCGATTCCAATTGCAAAATAGGATCATTTGTAACGACATTTGTGTTCTCCTGTTGTTCATTTGACAGTTGTAGGGGTTGTTGTTTTTCTATATCTGTGCTGCAATCGGTCTTCTTTTTAGATTCATTATTTTGATCTTTATTCGATTCGGTTGATAAGATCTCAGTACGTCGAAGGCGTTCAATGACTTTACTTAAGTCGCGTGATGACGACTTGGTAGGTATTGGTGATGATCCGGTGCTGCGACTCTTATTAAACCAAGCTTGAGATCGTTGGTCTGTTGGTTGTATAATCACACTCGAGTTGTTATCCTAAGAAAACAGAAAATAATTAAAAATAAATTGTTTTATATATAGATAAGTGTGTTAATGGCATTTGCAAATGTGAGTGGTCGTGGATTGGAATATTTTGTGAAAAATAAGAAATATATACAAAATAAGACCGAATAATTATTATATTCAGCAATTTTACACGAATATAATTCAAATAATAATAAAATGCCTATTTTTATAATATTGAATCTTTTTTCTGCCAAATAAACCTCTTCTGAAGAAATTATATCAATTTCTTTCGCATTTTTGCGTGCAACCAATCTATTTAATTGACCATAAGTAATAAATATGCTTTTTCCTACGTTTTAACTTTTATAAAATCAAAGTTTTACAACTTTTCGGTATATTATTTCACTGATTTAATATGAAAACATAAAATAAAATCATTATTATATATATTTTATTCCAAATTTGAAAGGGATGATGAATGATGGCAAATGCTATAATAATCAAATTTTGCTGAAATAAATTAAGTTTTGACAAACTGTTGAAAGTAAAAAATGCGACTTATATAACAAATTAGAATCCTTTGGATATCATCGTATTTAAAGTAGCACAAATATTGGGAGGTTACTTGCAGAAAATCTTCGACTTCGAACGACTTCAAGAAAGAAAATCGTTTCTATTGTACTCTATACAACAGGAAAGGCCTGCAATACTAAATCAGTTGCTGTTCACTTCAAGAACTAATGGTTCTCTTTCTTTCTTCCGAATTCTAGAATATTATGTTTATCAATTATTTTGCTACATATTAGTACCGTAACTTCAGTTTAACACAATATTTGAAACCAAATCTTTATATGGATTATAAAAATATTTAGTATTAAAAATCAAATATACGCTTTGAATATAAAATATATAGATTAAGTCATTATCAAATGTTAGGAATCGACATAGACAATATTTAGGCTTGAAGGAAGAAAGCCGTTGTTAGTTTGCGCTATTTTAAGATAAAGCGGATGTTTGAGTATTAGGGGAGACTGGGGCACCTTCGGCATCGGGGCACCTTCGGCAATCGCGTTTTCGATATGAAGCTCTCACCGTACATCACTAGTTTCGATACATAGGTATCGAATATCGAAATAAATAACTGACACAAAGTTTGAAATTTCTAGCTAATAAACTTATTTAGATACATGGGTTTTTATATTTTTATAGATGTTTCTGTAATATTTCAATTCCACTTCGTAAGTATTTCGCGTATAAAACTTTTTAAATTTTTAAGACAATATTATTAAAAAGTGGTTAACTACGATGTGTATTATTGTAGAAATGTTTAAAAATATAATGTTTTTAAAAACTGATCGAAAAAATGAAAAAAAACTATAAAAAGTACATTCGGGGTACATTCTTTTTATAGTTTTTTTCATTTTTTTCGATCAGGCATTTTAAAGAAATAAATAACTGGGCTAATATACTTATTTAGATACATGGGTTTTTATATTTTTATAGGCCATATACAGATTGTGCATATATATTAGTTTCCTTAAATGAAATGATCCGAAAAAAATGAAAAATGTTGGGGTGAGTTTGTCTTTAAAACTAATCCTTTAATATGGTCCGAAATCTATATATATAAAAGAGCTTAGTGTTAATTGAGTGAGTGAGTGAGTGACTGACAGATCATCGCCCAGACGAAACGGCTAAAGCTAGAAGCTTGAAATTTTGTGTGTGGGTTGGTGTTGGTGTGTAGGCGTGAGATAAGGCTGGGTTTTTGGAAATTCGAACTAGAAGGGTACGAAAAGTACTAAAATGTACCAAATATGGTATCCTTTGTATTAGGCGAACGGGAAGAGCTAGAATTCTGAAATTTGGAATGTGGGCCACTGATGTAAAGTTAGGAAGATGTACAAAAGGGTTTTTGGAAATTCGTACCAGAACGGTACGAAAAGTACTAAAAAGTACTAAATGTGCTACCATTTGTATTTGGCGAACCGGTAGAGCTAGAACTCTGAAATTTGGATTGGTGGTCGCTGAGTGTATGTTAGATGTACCAACGGGTTTTTGGTAATTCGAACTATAAATATCCGAAAAGTACTAAAATGTACTTAATTTTGTATAATTTCGTAGCATGTGAATTGATAGAGCTAAAAACTTGAAATTTGGAATGCGAATTAGGGATGAGATGTAGAGTCCATTTAAGGAGATGGTTTTGGGAGCGTGTACTCATGTGTACGAAAAGTACTATATGGCACTATATTTGGTACAAATTTAATTTGGAGATACAAATCGAGCTGGAATCCTGAAATTTGAAATTAACATTACCGTCGGAGTGTAGGACTGGTAATGTACGTAGTTTTGGAATTTTTTACCAGTTTCTGTAATTTATATTCATTGGTACTAAATGGTACTAAATTTGGTACATTTTGAATTTTATGTGAACCAATAGAGCGAGAATCATGAAATTTGGAGCCAGGATCACTGTTGGGGTGTAAGATAGAGATATGTAGGAAGTTTTAAAAATTTTTACTAATGTGTACTAAATTTGGTACAATTTGAATTGTGGGTGAACCGACAGTGTTGGAATCCAAAATCTTGGATTTAGGATCACTCTGGGGGTGAAAGTTTGGGTTAAGTGGGACGTTTTGGAAATTCGTACTACTGTGTACTAAATTTGGTACAATTTGAATTGTGAGTGAACCGAAAGAGTTGCAATTCTGAAACTTGGATTTAGCATCTCTGTTTTTGGTAAGTAAGAAGTTTTCGAAATTCGTACTACTGTGTACTAAATATCGTCCAATTTGAACTGTAGGTGAACCGAAAGAGTTGGAATCCTAAAACTTGGATTTAGGATCACTGTGGGGGTGTAGGATTGGGGTATTTAGGAAGTTTTGGAAATTGGTACTACTATGTACTAAATTTGGTACAATTTGAATTGTGGGTGAACCGATAGAGCTGGAAGCCTGAAACTTTGTGTTAGGATCACTGTGGTGGTGTAGGATTGGGGTATGTAGAAAGTTTTGGAAATTCGTACTAAAGTGTACTAAATTTGGTACACATTGAATTGTGGATGAACCCATAGATTTGGAATCCTGAAACTTGGATTTAGGATCACTGATGGGGTGTAGGAGTGGGGTCAGTAGGAAGTTTTGGAAATTCATACTACTGTGTACGAAATTTGGTACAATTTGAATTGAGGGTGAACCGATAGAGTTGGAATCCTGAAACTTGGATTTAGGATCACTGTGAGGGTGTAGGATTGGGGTCTGTAGGAAGTTTTGGAAATTCGTACTACAGTGTACTAAATTTGGTACAAATTGAATTGTGAGTGAACCGATAGAGTTGTAATCCTGAAACTTGGATTTAGGGTCACTGTAGGGTTGTAGGGTTAGGGTAAGTTGGAGGTTTTGGAAATTCATACTACTGTGTACTAAATTTGGTACAATTTGGATTGTGAGTGAACCGATAGCGTTGGAATTCTGAAACTTGGAATTAGGATCACTTGGAGTGTAGGTTTAGGTTAAGTAGGAAGTTTTGGAAATTCGTACTACAGTGTACTAAATTTGGTACAAATTTAATTGTGGATGAACCGATAGAGTTGGAATTCTGAAACTTGGATTTAGGATAACTGTGGGGGTGTGGGTTTAGTAAGAAGTATTGGAAATTCGTACTACTCTGTACTAAAATTGGTACATTTAAATTTGTTGGAAGTAGAAGGGTACGAAAAGTATTAAAATGTACCAAATATGGTACCCTTTTTATTAGCGAACGTGAAGACCTAGAATTCTGAAATTTGGAATGTTGGTCACTAATGGAAATTCGACCTATAAGTGTACTAAAGGTACTAAACTTTACTGAATTTAGTTCCTATTGTATATATATTGAAAATATATAGCTGGAATCTTGACATTTTTGGAATACAGGTTGGGAAGTGGTGTTGATGTACGGAAATGGTTTAAGACATTCGTACTTATGTGTATAAAAGTGTAAAATGGTACTAAATTCCGTACTAATTACTCTCAGTTGAGTGTGTAGAGATGGAATCGTGATAATCGGAATTAGTTTTTAAAAATCGTACTTATTTGTACGAAAAGTACTAAATGGTACTAAATTTGGTGGAAGTTGGATTTAGGTGAACAGATAGAGCTGAAGTCTTCAAATTGGGAATTAAAATGACTGTTGGAGTGTAGGACTGAGGTAGATTATGAAATTCGTACTTATTGGTACGAAAGGTATATGTGGTACTAAATTTAGTACAATTTGGATGTTGCTTGAAAGGATAGAACTGAAAACCTGAAATTTGGAATTAAGATTTCTGTTGAAGATTGAGCTATAGAGACATCTTTGGAAACTCGTATTTATGTGTACGAAAAGTATTAAACGGCACTAGATGGATTTGGGTGAACGGAGAAAGCTGGAAACCCATAATTTGGACTAATGGTTGATGTTTGAATATAGAATTGAGATATGGAAGCATATTACCTATGTGTACTAAATAGTACTATATTTGGTATAACTTGATTACGTGTGAACGGATAGAGCTGGACTCCCGAATTTTTTAATTAAAATTACTGTTGAAGTGTAGTATTGAGCTATGGAGACAACTTTAGAAACTCGAATTTATGTGTACCAATAGTAAATAGAATAGAAAATTCACTAAATTTGGAATAATTTGAATTTGGGTAACGGAGAGAGCGGGAAACCTAAAATTTAGAATGTTGGTCATTGACAGAGAGTTAGAAAGAAGGACCAAAGGGTTTTTGGTACTAAATTTAGTGAAGGTGACGGTATAGAGGTAGTCTTGAAAATGTATAATTATGTGTTCGAAAAGTTCTAAATGGAATTACATGTGGAACCTGTACGTTTTTGCTAATGTGTGGATTTCGGAAAATAGTGCTTATGTGTATGAAGAGTACTTAATGGTAATAAACTTGATATTAAATGTACGAATAGAGGTGGAATTCAGAACTATAGTACAACGATTTCCATATGAAATATTTTTTTATTCCTGTTCCGCATACGAATTAGCGGGTACTTTGCTAGTTGCATATATAAGATCAAACGTACTTGTATTGACGAAAATGCGATAGAAAACCCTTATTTCTGATGTGTGCGAGCTTGAGATGTAAACGTACGCCGTTAGAAAACAAAGCCTTATAATTCAAACATTGTGTGGCGTATTAAAACCAAATAGAGTCTTTAGAGGATCAGAATTTCAACCAGACTGATAGCGATGACAATTACCCGGCTATGACTATGTTGCCGAATGTGCCCCATCAAATGCCGAAGCTACCCCGGGTTGGGGCACATTCGGCGAATTTGACTTTTTTACAAAACTGTAAAATTTTTTAACTAATACTATTTTTTTATATCTTTTTGGTACTATTTTTTATAATTAAGTGTCTGAGGACAATAATCAGCCATAAAGTTGTTATATATGTTGAATAAGTACTGAGATATAGAGCTCTAAAAAAAAGTGCCGAAGGGGCCCCAGTCTCCCCTACTATGTCTTATCAAGTGAGTAACATACTCCATATCTTATGTAGAGAATAAAAGTGTACAGTATAACAGAGACATGTTTCCCCATCTAGTCTACACAATGAGTTCATCAAATTTCTTGCGATATCAGTATGTTTATTTTATTAAAATAAGCAGAAAAAATAAATAATTAAAGCCTTACTATTCTACACATATTTTACTTTAAAAATGTTGATTCCATCTGTAATTTAATAATCATGTCAATTTTTAATTTTTTTATACAACTACTAATAAAAAATCACTATTATATTGGTATATGGAATCTTCAAAAAATTTTATAAATTACCATCTTAAAAACGTTTTCCTTATAAGTATAACTTTTCTAAAAAATCAATCAAAAAACATAATTTATTTAGAATTTCATAAGGATTTATTCAACGCAACGTTTTATTCAAGCATTACACTTTATTACCGCACATGTAACATCATCACCTGTCCATAGTTCTAATCAGCAATCACACATCAACATCTACACATTTCATGGTAATACATTTTTTTATGTAGCACACTACAAATCACTTTTCAAACCGAAGGTAATATGTTTAGGATACATTAGCATATGAATAAGTCCACGTCATTCGTCAATACTAATTAAAAATAAAGCAACTGACCAATATTACTGGTGGAATATCTTCAAATAATTTTCCTCACATAAATTACATTATGTAACTATTCTTCGTTGTTTCAGCAATATAATATCCATTACGATTGGTAGATGTTGTACTAGTACTCCATTATTTACCTATGTACATATGTGTATATATCCGCCATTTTATTCTTTGCCATCAAATCGTGAATTTGGTGCAAAAAAATTAAGATATTTAATGAATCACTCTTTATCACAATTTGTTGTCCGGAGCTACCATCAACCATTCTTCAATTCAATTCCGCTCACATTATGCCACCAATACATGGTGTTACAACTTACCGAATAGGGACGGTGATTTCCCTCGGCGGACAATTTGCAGTAGATGCGTTTGTGACTGATAAAGTTGACCAAACTGCGAAACATATTGCGACACACATTGCACTCATAGATGATGGAACATTCATGTAACAGCAAACGGCGTACCTGGAGTAATTGATGGGCGCACATGCACACGACAAACATGAAAATGTAGGTAAAATAGAAAAAAAGAGGTCAATTGACACAAACGGTGACAATGTTTCAATTTTATGAAACCAATCATTGGCTGGCATTGCTCCATCTCCATCCATCCATCCATGTTCAACACAAATGGATGTATTCGCATCATTATTGCCATACATAAAATTCAGCATTCAGCCAACTAATTAGCAATAGAGAACACACATTGTCACATACACCCCGATCCGGTTCTCTTTGTCTAGCAACCGCCAAAACTTACCTCATCGGTACCATTTTCATAGGCCTTCTTGGCTTCCAGGAATCCGGTGAGGGCCGTCCTCATCGGCTGGCGCAACAGACTAACATCCTCTGTCATGGCCATATCGTGGAAATCGATCGCCATCTCCTTGTCAATCGTGGGAACTTTGGTATCCATCATCTACCTTTCAAATAGCACGTACGCACGTACGCTTTTCTGCCTTTCGAATGTGGCCGAATGACTGACTGACTGGCTGGTCGAGCAACTTGTTTGTGTTCCGCAGCCGTCTTGTTTTCTTTCGATTGGCAAAAAAGTTGACTTTTCGTTTAGTTATTTCAATTTCCCGATTCACATTTTGATTTGTTTCGATTGTTAATTGTATTTATTATTCTACTTCGGCGTAAAATAACACTTTAAAACCGTAACAAAAACACTATTCAAATTTCAATTCAACAATATGAAAATAAGTATTTACAGTATTCACTTTGTATGACTTAGGGATACGTAAGTCGACTTTCAACTAATCGATTAATCGACTTTTGCGGAATAGACTCTTTCGAGAAAGAAACCGTCGGAACTAGATTCAATTCTTTATTTTTATGCCATGTTCTGGCGGGCATCCGAACAACGTAGTTCGCTCTCAGAATTACGTACATGAATTAACCCATTCATACAACACTATTCATAATTCATATCATCAGAGTTTTTTATTTCAAACTTTTTGTTTCTTGTTTTACACCAAAAATGTAACATATTTTAGTGAATTACATAGGGATCTAAATAGAAAAAATAATTCTCTTTCTCCTGACTATAGTATGAACCCATATCTATTTACTTTTCATTCATGTTTTCCATTTTTTCTGAAAATGTTGTTGTTTTTAATGCATTTTTATATTTTCTCAATTCAAATGTCACATACTGTCACAAATAAAAATTTGGAGAATTTTTTGTTTGAGTTGCCCCACATTTGTTTCTTGTTTTGTACGCTAATTAGAACCAAGGGAAAAGAAATGCATATTGCATTATGTAGAAAACAAAATTTACATCCTGCTGCATGTATAAAAACTATACAATTTTTTACTTTTCATTCATGATTTTCAATTTTACTGAAAAAGTTTGAAAATTTCATAAATATTTTCAAACTGTCAAAATTAATTTATTTTCGATAAATACTCTCAATTGTTAGGGATGGGACAAATTTATTGGTTATTCAGAGAGTGATTCGAATTGAACAACGTACAAAATCGGTGTTCGCTCAGACAATTTTGTATGGGGAACTAAGTAATTCCTTCATAATTAAGGGTCGAACAACGAATGAGAGAGCGAACAACGCTCGTCTGTACATGGCATTACTCGTTGTTCTTCATTTGAATTGTAAATGTGAAACATGAATCGTTTTCACATTTTGTTGAAGTTGTGAAATAGTCTTGGAGTTTTCTATTCACATGCTTTCCTTACACCATTTGTTGTAAATGTTCGATACTCTCCCTCATTTGTTTTCGAAGCTTAGATTGTTCGGCAAAACTTTTCAGATTTAAATAATATGAAATGCCTGTATGTTTGTATGAGGTACTGTTCCACCATTAATCGAGACATATGGTCTGTTCCAGTACTGCAAAAATCTACAAGTTTTTACTATTTTTTTCGATAGTAGATTCTTGCAGTACGGGAATATACCAATATAATCGATTTACTTTTGTTGACATTCACAGGGTGCCTCATAGTTGACAATATGATTATTATGATATGAAAAATATGAGCATAAAAATGTTTGAATGAAGCATTTGTGAAATGGGAATTCAATGTGAGACTATGATTTCATTAATTTGTTTGTTTACTTATTAATTATTAAATTATTTATAATTAATTAAAATTAATTATTTAGAAAATATTGGAATGAAATAAACAATGCATACTAAATTAGCATATTTATATCTATTGTTCACGAGAACAATAGATGATACCAGTATACATATTCTCTATTACATTGTAACTATTTTGGTTTTTATCGACTTTGGTATTCTATAAGTTCTAACAATAAACCTTCGGTCCATTCAATATACAAATAACGGAGTTTAAGCACTATACAGCTTAAGTCTATCATTAGTCCAGAACTTTTGTGTTGATATTGGCGATGGTAAAAAACGGGATGGTAGGTGTTTTTTATTGAATGAAATTATTCTAATTTATGCAACAAGTCGCTATGTTGCCTGTTGGACAACAATGGGTGATTTCAATTAGTCAGTCATATATAGAGGATGTGATGCAAATGTGGTTTAGGTTGGTAATATGGTATAGTCATTTTTTTTTTGTAAACTGAAATTTTTAGAATGTTCTATAGTTTGCTGTTCTTGAAAAAATAAGATAGCAATGATCTGTTTAATTTATTTAACTCAGGTTGAGAATCAGTAGAAAAAATTAAATTTTTCATGAAATTGACTTTTTTGGTTGAAGTTTAAAAATATTTTTTTGTTTTACATATGTATTTTAATCTTTATTATTAAAGCATTAAAATAATTAGTAAGTACTAAAAATGAAATAATATGCGCGATTGATCACATATTTACCAATTTAAGAAAAAAAAAACTATACGTTTATTCAGTAAACACAAGTGCAGGTAATGTGGTATACCTTGAGTCTGCATGAAAAAAAAGCCAGCACAAGACAAAATCTCATTACTATTTGAAACATTTGTACTCTACGAGAGTCTACCATGAATCACAAGGATGAAAAACAAAGGCTATGAGTTTTAACAACGTCTCTATACAAAAATGAAATATTGCCACGTGTAAACATTATTATATATTAAAAATTAAAGTTCCACTCAATGTATCCGTTAAAAATCTTAACAGACATAAATCTCGAGCTAATTCGCATTCATTAAAAACAATAAATTATATAAGATATCAATTGGAAGTGAAAATTATACTATACCACATTAACATCATGTGATATTCCACATTACCTGCACTTTTTTAAATCACTTTTAATGAAATTTCAAATATTTTCTCAAATATCTCTTAAATTGTTAGAATAATATTATTTTCAAATTGATGCATGGAAAGACAACACATATAGCATGTTAAGTGTAAAATTTCAATTTAATCGGATAAAAAATAAAAAGTTGGCAATCTAAAAACAAATGGGTATACCACATTTGCATCACCTCCTATAATTAATTAATGACAGACTATTTTGTTCGATAAAATCGTCATTACAAACAAAAAAATTGTAAAAGACACAGAATCCATACAGGATGGTATGTAGGCTTTCGACTGTTGAAGAGGAAAGAAGAAATTAAAAATCTTTAAAATTGTTAACGACACAATTTAAGATTCTAGTAACCTGCGCCTAATTTCGTGAGAGTTGTGAGAATTGAATGTTTTTGAGTTCTATGAAAGCGAATATACCTGTCCGAGCGCTTTATTCACAATAGGCATCATTTAAATTACCCTCACTATTAATTCTCATATTTTACAAATTTGGAATAATTCACATAGTCGCCTTCTGCATAACATTCCAGGATTTCTGAGGGGAATTTATGGTCGCTCACTTTGTTATTATGTACTTTTCCTTTCTTCAAGATGTTTCAGAATAAATAAAAATGCATTCACCGTTTTAGAGTTTTTAAAAAAATCTTTCTTTATTGGCTTTAAAGCGTGACATTCATTTTTCATCATTATCAATCATAGATTTGATTTGAGTTTGAATTTTATTTGGTTTTATTACGAATACGTATTGCATGTGGATGGCCTGTCTACAATATATTTATCATTTAATTATTATTTTTTAAATTTATTATTTATTTGTTTATATAGCTATGTGTGTAGCTAACTATATTGTATTATTTTTCTTTTTGTATTTTTTTTACTTAATGCATGGTTTGCAGGATTGTGTTTTTTAATTTAATTTATTTTGTCTTATGTATGTGGTATAGAAAAATAAATACATTTTTTTCAACATTAGCTGTCGTTTTTAGATTTGAATAATTAGCAGAAAATAAGAAATTTTAAGCATTTTGGAATTGTTTTATAACTTTTCATATTTTTGGTTTGTTTTGTATATATATAATTTTTAATTTATACATTTATTATTATTATGTTTTTTAGTTTGCAATTTGACAATAATGTTTTTGTTTTGTTTTATTACTTATACATAATAGATGCAATCCATAAATATATGTATATACTATTTTTTTATATTTGTTTATTAGATTTCTTTAAACATAGTTTGTAAATAATGATGCCTTAAGAAATAAAAAATTTGGTAGTGATGCCTGCAGTATTTTTTCCATTAATTTGTAATCCTGTGTTTTTTTTTTTTTGTTTTTGTTTTTTTTTTTTGTATTTGTTTATGATTATTGTTACCGGAAATTTAAGCGTGTTTATAACATATTTCATACTTTCAATTCTGAATAATACACATTTATTTAAAATAGATATTTGGAAACCTTGGACCACTTGGGTGAACGTGTCGAAAATCCGTTTAGTAACAGCTTATAATACTATTATGTTTTTTTTCACATTTTTCACTGATTTAAAAATGTCCATCGCCTAACAAAGGTGTCGAAATTATTTTTATTTATATAAATTTTAAAATTACTTTGGTTTTAATTTTTAAGACTCATAGTAATATTTAAAACGCAAATCATTTAAAACTTTAAAATAGTGTCTATTTACTCTGTAATATGCTTATTTCAGTATTGAAAAATATGCAATAGACATTAATTATGCATTGTTTGTGGAATGTGATTGAAACAATTGTAGAAAGAATTAAAAGCCTAATGTATTGCCTTCGAATGGTCTGCATCATTCCCAATAAATACATAGATATTTTTCTTTTTCTTTTTGTCATTTATTTTATTTTCATTCTTAGGTATTTGAGTTAAACATTTAGTAAGGCACTAGTTACACGTTAATCTATCTACATTTTATAAATTTAATTTTTTGTGGTTTATTTCTTCTAAATTTGTTGTTATTGCCTGGTGTAAGCTACATTATTTGTTCTTGTTCACCCCTGAACCCAACGCCGAATATACTTCCGCTTGAGTGTGAGAGGACATGCCGGGAACTTTCTTTTAACGTGTAACTACTGACTACGGAGATTAGATCTAGATACCTCTTAAATTCAGTGTAAATTTTTCTGTTAATATTATTTATTTGTTTGTTACTTTTTATGATTATATATGCATGTAGATTTTGTTGTTTTTGTTATTGTTTAAAGCTTATTATTTA